AACCCCTCTACGCCCTAGGCAACAACCTTCGCCCTCATGGAACGGACGAACTCATCAACGGATTGATCTCTCCGAACTCGATCTCGGAGCATGGGCCACACTCTCATCGACCGAACACCTCCTACTACAGGCATCGTAGGAAGTGACTCGATGACGTCTAACTGCATCCGAGCGAACTCTCGAAGGAGCTGACTCTGCTGGGTAATCATGCAAGTCAACTCACCCCTCGCCTTTTGGCTAAGGGCATCAGCTACCACGTTCGCCTTCCCCGTATGATACTAAATGGTGCAATCATAATCCTTCACTAGCTCCAACCATCGCCTCTGGCACATGTTGAGCTCCTTCTGCGTGAAGATGTACTGCAGACTCTTGTGATCGGTGTAGATCTCGCACCGACCACCATACAAATAGTGCCTCCAAATCTTGAGCGCGTGGACAACGGCTTCCAACTCGATGTCATGAGTCGGGTAGTTCTCCTCGTGGGGCTTCAGCTGTCGCGAAGCGTAAGCGACAACCTTGCCCTCCTGCATCAGCACGCACCCAAGTCCCTGCTTCGAAGCATCACTATAGATAGTGAAACTCCGTGTAGGGTCCGGAATAGTCAGCACGGGTGCCGTAGTCAACCTCCTCTTGAGCTCCTGAAAGCTCGACTCACAACGGCTACTCCAATCGAACCTAGTCCCTTTCCTCGTCAAGCGTGTCAAGGGTAGGGCTATCTTCGAAAACCCCTCAATGATCCTCCTGTAGTAGCCTGCTAACCCGAGAAAACTCCGTATCTCGGTAACAGACCTAGGTGCTGACCAGTTCCTCACTGCCTCGATCTTCCCGGGATCGACCTCAATGCCCTCGGCCGTAACAATGTGACCGAGGAATGCCACTCGATCGAGCCAAAATTCGCATTTCGAGAACTTGGCGTACAGTCTCTCCCGCCTAAGAGTCTCCAACACGATCCTCAAATGCTCCTCATGCTGGGCTGAGCTCCTCGAGTAGACCAAAATGTCATCTATGAAGACGATGACAAACTGGTCCAAGAATGGGTGGAAAACACGGTTCATGAGATCCATGAATACCGCCGGCGCATTGGTCAAGCCGAACGGCATCACGACAAACTCATAGTGACCGTATCGGGTACGAAACGCGGTCTTCACCACATCAGACTCCCGAATCCTCAGCTGATGGTAACCCGAACGAAGATCTATCCGGGAAAACACACGGGCCCCTCTCAGCTGATCGA